TGCGGATCGCGCGCCGCTGTAACCTATCCAAAGCATCAAAAAAGTACTTGGCGGAGCCGTACTTACGTCATGTATAACAAGCACAGTTGCTCAGGCGTGAAAAAACGTTAGTTTTACTGTGAAAGCGCAGACCTGGGCTTTCTTGGCAATGAACTCAACCAAGTTCTTGGTACCGCATTCCGAAATGTGGTCCAAATCTTGATTGAGTTTAATGACAAGATTCTCCCGTTTCTCTTTGGTTTCTACCTGTCCAGCGGCTGCGTATCCAAAATATCCCGCATGCACTGTATTATCGTCTGCATAGCAATGAATATTCTCAAGAGGAATTAAATCATTGAATGCAGCAAAAAGAGTGTGGGGGATAGGACGGAGTCCTGAGAAACGCTGGCATTCACTGACATGAACTACGAACTACATCCGTCGCCGTCTGTTGACGCTCATGCAGGAAGTCAGCCACTCAGGCACAGAACTGAGTACGCAGACCGTATCCAGGAAGCTTGGAGAGAAGATTTATGATTTATCAAAGCCTTGGCGATGTTAAGGCTGATAGCCAAAGACTCACCTCACTTATCGATAGCCTCACCCCAGATATATGTCACGTACGCTAGAAGGTCACCTGTCGATCGATTCGGTCTATCCTCTTTTACTTGCCTCAAATATAACGCAAACATATTATCTATATTTTTTTGCAAAAAGCGACAGATTTGTAAGTTTTTACTTCATCTAGTAAAATTAAAATATCTGGTAAAATTCAAACAGTCAAAGCCAATTACAGGATACTCACAGGATATTTACTCTAAGTGTCTACATGAAAAATGAGTTAAATCCGAAACTTGGTTTCAGCGGTAATACATTTACAAAACTTAAGTGTTTTGAATGGGTTTATTCGGTTTTTAATCAAGAATTTTGGAAATAATTTGCAGTTATTCTGTTTATTCATTAGCTATTTCAGGAAATATACGTCGAAGAGCATAATGGGTTTTACCTGTAGATGCAGCTTAATGAGACGGGTCGATTGGTATTATAAAAGTTCAGTAGCGGAAAAGTGCAGATAATCGGTTTTGGCACTAAGGGGATGATTTACTAACTAATAAACTTCTCGCTTTCTAAACGCGCTTTGTTCGTTATTTTGAAAATGCACATATCAATAATTATAATTAGTAATAACTGGAGGTCGCCCGCGACTTCGTTTGCGTTAACTTAGTTTCTTGAAAATCCCTCTGGAACCTAACATTTTTTCGGGATAAAAGTAGCCTATGTGTTAATCTAGGGTGTCAGCTAACTCCATAAAATTTTTTATAAAAATCGCTCCAGCCGTTTAGACGTGAAGAAGTAACAAACATACACACTCACATACTCACAAACTTTCGCCTTTATAATATTAGTGTGATAACTAATAGGAGTAACAAATAATTAATTCTTCATTAATTATTAACAATTAATGAACAAAAATATTTACAAAGAGTAAGGAAATTTATTTTAATTCAAAATAGGGAACCCTTCTACTACAAAGGCGATGTTCTTGGATGTGTCATTTCGGTGGTCATTTTTTTACCATTTCGGTAAACAATTTTCATTTCAGTGGACTGCCGAAAACTCATCCTTAAATATTTCAGTAAGTGGTTATTGAATTTGACCCGTAGGATCGTTTAAAAATGGAAAAAAAACCATTAACAATATATTTTCTTTTTTTATTTTGCACCTTTAATTGCATTTTGTGCAAAAACTATGGGAGATACGCGAAAATATGTTGATACCTTTTTTGTAGGATATTAAATTTTCTACAACTTTGTACTAGAAACTTTTTCTATTTTTCCAGCCAGTCGCGAGATATTGACGAAAATCTCATTTTTGCACCATTTCGCATATTTTTTTCACCCTTTGCCGTCCATGCAACACCCTGCAATTTTAGTATATTAATCTACGAACCCTTGCGGAAATTTTCGCGTTGGTTGCAGGTGATCAACTCAAAATGGCAAAGTTAAGCCTTCATTGACTGGACTATATGATAATCTATCAGCTATACTGTAAAGAGGTTTAATGTTTAAGAAGTTGTTATTGTTTGTATAATCGGGCACATCAATGACTAATTATACTTACATGTAAAAGATAGGGAATATATTAAAACTCGTTGAAAAAAAAAAAAAAATCACAATTTGGCTTAACTACAGATTGTCCCTAATTAGTTGACCACGACTGTATATATAATAATGATAAAAAAAAACCCATCCAACCTCAACACAACCCCTACCCCTTTCGATACCACCACCACACTGACCAGCCCTGCTCTCCCTCTTCACCATAAGTCCACCGTCTGCTCGCTGGTCGTTCACCGGGCCTCCCACATGGGTCTCACCCGGTGGGCATGACCGCGCCGAGGGCGGTGGTGAAGCTGAAGAGAAGAGAGAAAAGGATCCAACGACCGCTCCGTAGAGACGGAGCGCGCACCCGACACGTCCGAAGAGGAGCGATCCTATACCGGATTCTCCGCACGCCGCGGCGCCTCCGGCGCCGGCGACGCGCGAGACGACGATAAGAAAACGATCGGGTCATTAACCTTTGAGTTATCGACCTGCAAACAACTGGATCGGGAAGAAGTCAGCCAGTATGGAGAAAATTGAACACCAAACCGTTATTAAGTTCCTTACCATGAAAGGAAAATCCGCACAAATTATTTTTCAAGAGCTGTTGGCGGTTTACGCGCACTCTGCCCCTGGTAAAACCATGGTTTACAAGTGGCATGGTCTTTTCAAACAAGGAAGAGAGTCCATTGAACACGACCCCCGCTCCAAACGGCCAATAGGGAAGATGCATATATAATATTTATGAAAATTTTATGATTAAAATGTTAAAAAAATATAAAAGAAATGCCACTGAAACGTTTTTATTTTACATAATGTTGTTTTTTAACAATTATTACGAATTAAAAATACTTGAAACGGAACGTATTTTAAAACACCAATCAGCGTTTAGTGACGTCACTCCTGTTATGACAACTTCTTTGAGGTTATGGTTGTTAAAGTAAATATTATTTTATGGGAATATTTATTGCGTTTTTTTACATTTAATAAAAATGGAAGTTGCGTTTATCAAAGCAGACTCCAGGAATTTACCAAGAGTTAGCGTTGACATGGTTATAACTTTTTTTGTCCAGAGTGCAGAGTTTTTAAGTGTAGAAATGAAAGGGACTAAATTACTACGGTATGCAAAAATCGTAGTTGTTAAACTTCGTATTTTATTCAGCGGCTTTTACAAATCTTACGGCGATAATGCAATCGGCTATGTCCAAATTAAAAGAGATGGAAAATTATGTACAGTAAAAGGTCGAGTTCTCCGGAGCATAAAGTACGTAAAGAAGGTTATCGTGTTACAGTTATTTTAAATGAAACGCAAAGCTTGGTTCAGTCCTGCCAATGTGAAGATTGTGCCACACATTTTAAACTTTATCTAATTTTCGACGTCATTCTCCAACTGTAAAATTAAAAATATGTTATAGACAGGTTTTGTAAGTATTAGGTAGGTTACTAATGCGTTTTTACGTACAAGCAGATTAATTAAGCATATAACAAGTATATTCGCCGACTTACGTCAAAGTGATCTTCTCAGCATCGAATAATGGTCTTTGGAGAATAATTGTCATTTCTCTTCGCAGCTTGAAACCACTTTTTTTTTCAGTTTTGGGTCAGAAGTTCCAGTCAAAAACAATTTATTTGGGAACTTTGTTGAAGTAGATTGGCACAAAACATGAGTCAACACGGCTTTTCTTCGGAATATTAGTGGTATTGTTATGATCACATGATGTTGATGGATAGTCCAATTAAAATTTTTCAAAAAAATATTTCGAAAGTCGTAAAATATGCAAAAGTATGAAAATTTAAAGCCAGCAACGAACAATTACGACCAGTGATAGACAGGAGTGACGTCATCGCAACCATAGGTTCGTTTACGCGCGAAAATTTAAATTGTCAATTTAAAACCGCATTTTTTCCGATAAATCACAATGTTTTAATTTTTTAATATATCTGTGGTTTATTCTACATGGAATTCTTTAAAATGAAAACAAAAATAAAAATATTGCATCTTCCCTATTGAGGCCACCACACCGAAAATCGTCGAAAAAGTAGAAAAACTTGTATTGGAAGATGCCCGGTTGAAGAAGTAGCAGCTTGCAGCAATGATTGGAGTATGCGAAACAAGTATTTTGAATATTTTACATCATCATCTTGGGATGACTGAGGTCAGTCCAAGATGAGTTCCGAGAATGCTCACGCCACTTCAACAACGCGAGCGTGTCGAGTGTTCTTGCTAGTTCTTGGAGCTCTGTGGAGAGAGAAAGGAAGAAGTTATGGCCCGAATCGTTACACAATCGGTTGGCAAGATCATGGCGACTGTCTTTTGGGATACAGAAGGTATTTTACTGATCGATTATAAAGAACGTTGTGTGACTATAACGGGACCGAACTACGCTTCTTTACTGGAAAGATTGAAAGAAGCCATCAAGAAAAAAAGAAGAGGAAAGCTGTCAAAAGGTGTGCTCCTCTTGCACGACAATGCACCCGTTCACACGTGCCATGTTGCGACGGTTGCCATTCACCGATGCGGCTTCGAACTATTAAACCACCCACCCTACAGTCCAGACTTGGCATCCAGTGACTATTATTTATTTCCAAAAATTAAGAGAGCTGCGTGGAGAAAAATTTGACGACGATGAAGAAGTGTAGGCCTATTTTGACACCAAAGACAAATCATTTTTTTCGATGGTATAACCAAGTTATTTGAGAGATCTGAAAAATGTATTAGAGTTAAGGGCGAATATATTGAAAAGGATAAATAGTTTGGTGTTTAATTTCAACCTCCTTCCCTCTTATTCCGTGAACTTTTTGACCTCCCCTCGTAATAATGATCTCTGAAAGTTAAACAGATAACTTTATTCCCATAAACTTTGATTGTTATTTTCTGTGTCATATTGAAGTACATTAAGTTGTTTTTACTATTTTCAGTCGCGTAAAGCCTTAGAACGCATAAGCATCCCCAAGATCTACCATCCGTTCATCCAAGGCCCTTATGGCGAGCGTGCCTCTGCCATCAGCGCTGAAACCGGCGCCCGAATCCATATTCCCCCAGCCTCTACACAGAACGACGAAATCGTTATTGCTGGCGAGAAGAACGGAGTTTTAGCGGCGAAGGCGCAAATTGAGCAGATCTATGATGATATGGTAATAATGATTATCTTGTCTAGCAATAAAACTGTTCACAAGAACGATCATTTAAAGTGCGTGTTTTACCATACACAATCAAGAAAAACATATCAACATTCAACAAAATCGTCTACACAAAACTACACTAGTAGTCACTACACATATTTGTTTGCATCAACAATGTTTTTGCTTTCCGAGCCCGATGGAAAACACGTAAATATATCCCCTCCGCGCGGGTCCAACGCCAGCGTACTATTTCATCTGCCATTTTTTTACAACTCGCTAGCGGGGCCTCCGTTCCAAACCTACGCTCTTAGTTCAACTTTTCACTCTGACATTACAATTTTTTCATAAAATGTATGAAACTTGTCAAATTTGAAATGATCACTTAGATCGTAGTTTTTAACGTAGCCCTGTGTATGACGTAGTGATGTGAGTACGACAGCCACGTGAGCCGTAGACGGCGTGTGTAGAGAAACAAAGATTTGTGTACGTGTTTTTGTTGAATGTTTCCAAAACATTTTTGCTCCGGCACCGGCTTACTATCAACCTTGTATAATCGTTTATTTTTTTAACATTAATTTTTATGGGACAATAAAAAACTGTATTAGTGTTATTTAATGGAGTAGTGCTCACTGAACTATTAAAAATGCACATTTTATATGTTTTTTACTGTAAGTCAGGACAACATTTTCTTATGATCTTGATATAGCAACAGTAATTTTTTTTTTGCAATTAATTAATAATATTCTGTCCAGGATTTTTTAGGCAACCCATTCCTAATATATTTTCTAATATACTAAATTCATGACAAAATATGTTTCATTTTATTATCAGCATGGTGAAGGTCGATGTAGGGTCCGATCTTAGACTATTTATTATCTTTTTTAATTTTTTTTGTTGATTGATATGTGACAAAAAAAGGTGTCCATTATTTTTTAATAATGTACAGTATTATTTAATCTCCTATAATTTCATGACTTAATGTGAAGTATAGTCAATAATATACAAGTTATTACTAATGACCAGGTTAAGAAATGTTCAACAGTCCGAGTAGAAGTTCCCAAGTCTCAGCATAAATATGTGATTGGAGCCCGTGGTACAACCATCCAAGAGATATTGAAGGAAACTGGAGTTTCTGTAGAAATGCCACCACCTGATTCTCCAACTGGCACTATCACCCTCCATGGACCTCATAACAAGATTGGCCTTGGTTCGTTTAAAATAGTTTCTTCCTGGATCTGCACACAACTTAATTTTACTTACATAACACCCGTTTTATTTATTTTAATGTAAATTTTCAGCTCTATCAAAAGTATGTGAGAAAGCAAACTCTGTAAAGACTGCGACTGTGGATGCCCCAACATGGATTCATAAATATATTATTGGTAAAAATGGCTCTAACATAAAAAAGATAACACAGGATTTCTCAAAGGTAGATTTTGAATTTACTTTGAAATGATTAACTAGCTGAAAATAATAACAAAATGTAATTAAAGTAAATGTTTTTCCTAGGTTCATGTTGATATTACGCACTCTGAAGATAAAGTGAAGATAGATGGCCCACCCGAAGAAGTAGAACGTGCCCAAGTGGAACTAGATGACTTTGTTAAAAATTTGCTTGCTACTCTTACTTATGTCGAGTTATCTGTCGATCCGAAATTCTTCAAGCATATTATTGGCAAGAGTGGATCCAACAGTATGTTCAAATTATTGACTTAAATTACCCAATTATTGAATATAATATTCTTCTTGCACTGTGTTAATTTTTCCATTTGATGTATTTTAAATGTTTCTTTTATTTTCCAGTTAACAGACTGAAAGATGAGACTGGTGTAGTTATTAACATTATTGAGAACGAAGGCAACAACGTCATTCGTATTGAGGGAAGCCACCAAGGCGTTGCCGATGCAGAGAGAGAATTAAGGGAAATGGTAATGAAATTGGAAAACGAAAGGACGAAAGAAGTATACGTAGATCATAGGTATATCAAATCTCTTATTGGAGTAAGAGGTGAGAAAATCAAGGAAATCCGCGAAAAGTTCGATCGAGTTCTAATCACGTTACCTGATCAAGGACAAAAGAGGAGTCCAATCAAGCTAAGAGGTCCTCAAGAAGACATCGAGAAATGCGAAAAGTTCCTACACAAACTATTGAAAGAAATCGCCGAATCCTCGTATGTACAAGAGGTTCCTATTTTCAAGCAATTCCATAAATTTATCATTGGCAAAGGTGGAGCTAACCTTAGAAAGATTCGTGACGAGACCCAAACGCAGATCGATCTCCCTGCCGAAGGTGACGATAGCGACGTAATAACTGTGCGTGGTAAACGGGAAAATGTCGAAGAAGCAGTTAAAAGGATACAGCAGATACACAATGAGAAGGCAAACATAGTGACGGAGGAGGTGACTATTCCGCCTAAATACTACAACTCGTTGATTGGAGCGGGTGGTAAACTTATTCATTCCATTATGGAGGAGTGTGGCGGAGTACTTATAAAATTCCCGGCCGCAGAGAGTGATAGTGACAAGGTAGTCATTAAGGGCCCCATTGAGGATGTGGAGAAAGCCAAGCAACAATTGTTGGCCCATGCTTCAGAGCGCGAGCTAACCTCTCACACAGCCCATGTGCGCGCGAAACCGGAACATCACAAATTCCTCATTGGGAAAAATGGTGCTAATATTAAGAAAATACGCGAGCAAACTGGTGCTCGTATAATCTTCCCAACTGAAAAGGATGAAGATAAAGAAGCAATTTTTATCATTGGTAAGTCTTTTTTTTTTAAATTCTGTAACGATTTGTTGTGAGGAGGCGGAGGGAGGATTATCACATAACCTTATCGCCTTTCACAACGCCAAAATGCGGAACGTATTTTTCAGGGTCAAAAAAATATAAATGATGTTTCTTTCTACTGGGAAAATAGTTTTCAGAAATCTGTTCCGTAATTCCAGAGATTACAAATTTTTATAAACTTTACTTCTTTATATTAGTAATATAGATAGATTATAATAGGGTATTTTCCAAATTTTTGAAAACTGCTTATATTTAAAGATTGGGACAAACGATTGAACTGAAAAATAAAAACAACTGATGTCTTTTTTTCTTTATTAAACCAATTAAAGTTGAATTTATTTTTCATTGTTTTGAATTTACCGCACAAACGCTTGCTTCGATGACGTCTACTGTGTGACGTCAATTTTGTGTACACTTCGTTAATCGGCGAAAGGTTCACTTAACCTAAAATTGATTATTTAGATAAATAGCAATGTAATCATCTGAAGGTCTAATTATTAACTTTTTTACTTTACGTTCGGGATAATTTATAGTATAATACTTGCACAAAATTTTTGATGTTTCGAAATTGAAGCACAGACATCAGGATAAGTAGCGAAGAAATTTGCAACCATAAAAACATCTACTACAGGAAGATTTGCATTGTCGGCTTTCGGAGACCCACCCGGCTTCCATTGTGGAAAATAAGTAAAATAAATACTTTAACAAAGAAATCGTTAAATAATTACTCTATAATCACAGATAGGCCACAGACTACATAGATATTAAAATTATTTACACAAAATTGATGTCACACAGTAGACGTCATCGAACCGAGCGTTTTGGCGGTAAATTCAAAACCATTTAAAATAAATTCAACTTTAATTGGTCCAATTGAGAAAAAAAGAAATTAACTTTTCTCGTCGTTAAATTGTTTGTTCCAATCTTCAAATATAATCAGTTTTCAAAAATTTAGAAAATACCCTATTATAGTTACAAGTGTAAATTGCTGATATAATCAAATTCTGGCATAACAATACACATATTGTTATCGTTATCGGCTTAAAAGAAATCATCCGTTCACGAATTTTGTCCTAAACTCCTTGCCCTCGGTATCACTTGCCATCTATGCAATCATGACAAAAATTTAAATACAAACAGGCCGCGAGGAGCAAGTAGAAGCGGCGCGCAAGCAGCTAGAAACGGCAGTCGCCGAGATCAGCAACGTGGCCGAAGGCGAGATGACAGTAGCCGCGCGCCACCACCGCCACTTTGTAGCGAGGCGGGGGGAGGTGCTGCGTCGCATCGCTGACGACTGCGGAGGCGTGCAGATCTCCTTCCCGCGGCAGGGCGTCAGCAGCGACCGCGTCGTCCTCAAGGGGCCCAAGGAGTGCATCGAGGCTGCCAAGGCGCGCATCAACGAGATCATCGAGGACCTGGAAGCTAAGGTACCGGGCAGATCTCCTTACCGCGGCAGGGCGTCAGCAGCGACCGCGTCGTGCTTAACGGGCTCAAGGAGTGCATCGCGGCGGCCAAGGCGCGCATCAACGAGATCCGCATGGAATCATCAGCATCAACGCGCTGAAAGCGCACACGACACCGGGCAGATCTCCTTTCCCTCCCAGATATCTTTATCTGTCATGTAGGGCTGCCGTCACATAAATTTCTGACGCCGGACTAAATCTTTAAAAATTGGAGATTTTTTCCCAGATTCAGAGCTTTTTTCAAGGCCATAGTTTACTCGTTATTATAGAGCAAGTGTTTGCTTCTGTATGTGTACGTCAGCCGCCGTGCCATGGAAACAAAATAAAGTTAAACTTGAGCTGATATATCTATATACCAATTTGCCTTCTAGTGCAGTCATTGAAGCGAAAAATACGGTCTTACCTCCGATTTTTTTTACTGTGAACCGATTTGCATGAAATTTTGGGATTAGGCTCATCTTACCCTTAACTTCAAAAGTGAAAATGATCTGAACTCCGCCTATTATTTTTAAGGGGTGTAAACAATCCCTTAATGGAAAAATTGACATGGAGCCATTTGATCGCTAGAAAACATGTCTAATAGTAAGTGATGAAATAGTAAAGTATTTTCTAACATAATTACCTAGTATTAAAATCATTTTCAACCCCTTGAAAATCTTACAACCCTTGCAAAAAACCCCTAAATTGAAAAAATCACAAAAAAATACTTTAGTATGACATAAAAAGATGTAAGTATAGAGTAAGTAATATTTTATATTCTCTATAATAATTATCAAATATTTAACCCCCTTTCAACCCTTGAAAACTACCCCTTGATAAAAAATTGTTAATTTTTTTTTTGATAAAATGTAAAGGATTTAAATATTATTCCACACTCGAAAATGATTATCATATTCTTAAGCTTTTCTTACCCTTAAACCTACCCCTAAATTAAATTAAAACAGTAAATATATATGATTACATATTTAAAAAATCATTTAATTTACAGTAAAAAATTGCCATTTATCGAATAAAATATTTACTAATTATATAAAATTGTACTATTATTATTAAAATATAATATTATTATTCATGACTCAATATCGGAGTCACTGTCACATTCAACATCTTCTGGCTGAATTGGAGGGCTATTTTGGCAGTTATCTACACTGCACGTTCCACAGGTACTATTACAAAACAGACCAACTTTTCTGCATCCGCAAGATGCTCCACATCCTTTTTTGCAGTTGCAAAAAATCATTTTCAGCAATTCTTGTGGTGCGGGTGGATCTACAGACAAGTGGATTTAATAAACCGTCATTCATGACCCACCCCCAATCCGTTGGATGAATGATGATGATGATGATGATGAAATGATGGAATGTGTTATATATACATATAAGAACGTTGGTATGTATTCATGCCTACGTTTCCAAAATATATGAACCATATTATGTATATATATACACATTACAATAGTTGTGGGTCTCTATTATACTGCGTACTTTCACATTGCTCCAAATATTCACACTCCGAAATTTTCAGTTACTAAGTAGAAAAAAATATGATAAGTTTTTGTACCATAACTCCTTCAATTTTCATGCTATCAATATTTATGTAAAACCATTGTAAAGGTAATTAAGAGAGCTACAACATCCTTCATTGCAATATATATTAAAAAACCTTTTTCTAAAACGGTGAAGGGTTAAAGGGCTTAAGAGAGGCTGTGATTGCGCTGCCACGCGCTCTTTAAACAATCATATCTCCGTCAATTTTATTTTGACAGAAAAAACAAAAAAACCAAATTGTTTGTCAGAAAAATATCTAAATTTTTAAATCGTACAATTTTATACGTATCTGTCGTCATTTTTGAGATATTATGAAAAAACAGTGGGTTTTTTAAAAATTTGAAATTTTGGTTTTTCTTTTAATCGTGACTTTTTTGAAAAATATGTGTCCTGAAGAAGCCAAACTGATACTATCTATCAAACTCTTCATAATAAAGTTAATTCTAGGCGGAATACGATTAATTTTAATTTTGGTGGAAATGGCACTTATGAAACCCATTGATTTAAAAGAAAAAACATTAGATGCTCCTCTTATTTGCAATACAGCTCACTTATTTTACGTGCAAAAGACTTTTAATAGTGCTCATTTTAAAGCTTATTTCAAGCACTACAAAACCCTTTTGTATTAGAATGCATGCATGCAATGCATCTGCTCGCCGCTAGATGGCATTGACCACATCGATTAAATTTCAGACAAAATAAAAAACGGCTTTGATCTTTAATATCTAGCTTAATATTGCACTTAGAATACTTTATAAAAAACCAAATTGTTCATTGTTTTACCTACTACAATTTTGTTCTTTATAAAATTTTCGATAAAACTTATATTTTTGGAGATACATATTTGCAAAAAACCGATAAAAAACGGGAAAAAATTTCGAATTTTCAATTGCCAATAACTTGAAAAGTATTGGATTTTTTGAAAAACTATAGATGATTTTTTGCTTAAAATTAGGCTTTCTATCGATATCCGAGGTTATTTTGAAAAAAAAATTCACCCCCGAGAAGGGGTGGCAACCACCCCCAGGGTGGTTGCGGAGTTCAAATCATTTCCACTTGAAGTTAAGGGTAAGATGAACCTAATTCCAAAATTGTATGCAATTCGGTTCACAGTAAAAAAATTCGGAGCAATAATGCTTCAATGACTGCACTATTCATAGCGTATTAAAGAATAATCTTTTCTTTAGGTGACAATCGAATGTGTGATACCGCAAAGACACCATCGCACCGTGATGGGTGCACGTGGTGCCAAAGTGAAGGATATCACTGCAGAGCACGACGTTCAAATAAAGTTCCCCGAGCGTGACACAGCCGAGGCGGCCGACATTCCAGTCAAAAACGGCGAAGATGGTGCGGAGCCTGGCACCAATGACATCATCAGGATCACAGGCCGGCCGGAGAACTGTGAAGCCGCCAAGAAAGCTTTATTGGAACAGGTATGCGCTTTAAATGAATATCTATACTACAGGTCGCGGCACGTAAATCTAGCGCTGAACAAAACGCGGAGGGGTTAAACATAATGTCATCTCTGTCTTCTTTTTAGCAAACAAAAATGACAACACCAGTTTTAAACTAAGTTTTACTTTAGTCTATGTTCTGTTATAAAGCGGGAATAGTTTGTTTGGTAAAACATGCTAATCTCAAGAACTGGGGGTCTACTCTCTTTCTCCAAAACGAACTTTCGATAACGAAGTTCAAACGAAATTTAATTTCGTCAATTTAAGGTTATACTTAATTTGAACGATAACCTATCAAATTGAAAAAAAATATTAAAATATATTTATTGGAACTAATTAAAGTTACATGTATAATTAGGTTCGTTAATAGCTATATTAGTTTCTAGAATTGAAGCTTTCTTTGAGTAGACTTAGAAAATCTACACATCAATTTATATTCCGGTGACGAATATTATTATTATTAGAAACGAACCAGAAACATAGTAAGAAAAGTGCGAAGTTTCGATCGAAATTTAGTTTTTCGTTGAATTAGAGTAGGCGTTCTGGTCGGTTTTCATAAATTATTTTTCCGTTAGATAATCATTTATCAAGGAAGGCTTTATGCTTTATAGCATCATGCTACAATCAATATGATTGAAATATGTGGCAAAACGGTAAAAACAAAAAATATTCCATTTGAGAGCTTGTATTACGTTTGCTGCGTAAACAGCTAAAGTTACACAGTCCACAGTCCAGTCCCATGTATAGGGGTAACTATACGCGCACACATTCTTCTATATACATTAAATAGATTATTTTCTTGTTAATGCATTATTGACGTTATACCAAAACATGTGAAGAATTGGACTTTAAACTTAATAATTTATCATATTAGTCTATTCCAGATAGGCAATAAAAAATTTTACCTCGCCGCAACAACTGTAATGTCAAAGCGCATATTTAAAAAAAGATAACAGTTGGTTTACTAAATTTCAAATCTTACTAAAAAATAAATGTGGTGTGAATATCAAATGATATTCTTTATAGCAATGTTGTTTTGTATGTAGGTACCCATTACTATTGATGTGGAAGTTCCCAATGAGCTGCATCGCCTTCTTGCCGGTCAAAAGAGGAGGGAACTTATGCAGACATATGATGTCCACATTTTGCTGCCGCCTAACGAAGATCCTAGTGATTTGGTTAAGGTAAATTTACATTCATCAATACATTGATTATGAAGTTTTAAAACTTTTGTTTATTTGTTTTGTATTCAAACATATATATTATTCTATGTTTGTCATAGGTAACTGGAACGCCCACTAATGTAGAAAAAGCAAAGCAAGCATTGGCTGAGAAGATTGTTGAAATGGAAAAAGAAAAAGAGGACCGGAAGCTTAGGTAAGCGTTTTATTATTATTATACAGGCGTCTCTTAAAATAGTGTTATACAAACTTCCAGAGAGTACCCAAGGTAACCATATCACTTCTACTTGTTCCGCGATTTTGTGGAGATACGAATACTTTTTTTCTGCATTAAAATTCGAGAGTAATATGGTTTCAGGATTTGTGCACAAATAATATTTTTTGTAGTTTGTAGCTCAAATCGATAAGGCATTATTATTTTTTACAATGTCAAAATCTGTCATGGTTATTGTAGCTATAGAATAGTAGAAATAATATACGAGTAAAAATCTATTAAGTTTAACTATTGGACATATCATTTTTTCGCACAAGTAACAAAGCGCAGCGTATTTCCTGCTTTACATTAACAAACAATTTTTACAGATCATACGAGCTCAAATTCAAAGTTGATCCAGAATATCATCCACTTGTTATTGGCAAGGGAGGTTCTGTCATCACCAAAATACGGACTGATTATGGAGTACAAATAAATTTGCCTAAACGCGGCGAGCCTGAGGACGATATCATCACGATTCAAGGATACGAAGACAAGGCTCACCAAGCAAAGGATGCAATCATGGCGATTGTCCACCAACTTGTAAGTTACCTAATTATTTGAACATAATGAAGCGTTTGGCTTCGCCTTGGCCCACATTTACACGTTCGTCCATCAATGCCTCGCGATTGAATAATAAGTTAGCGCAAGTCGCGGCGCAGTAAACGAAATGTAGGGTAATTATCAGAACGTATGATGATGACGTGTATGATGTTAGCATCTAGTACTGCGTCGCTGGTGTTTAACAAATAACCCTGTAAAGAGTAATTACTAAAGGTGCCATTCCGAGACGGGCTGCAGACTGCAAACTGCAGCAACACCACTTGTTTCTATGAATCTCTTTGAAATTTATTGCCGAGACAGTGCGGTCGACCGCAGTCACTAGCCGCAGAGTTGTCTGCAGTTGCAGTAAGAGGGGAGGCAGACAATGTTTTTTATACAAACGTTCTCAGTTATGTGAACCTAGTACCCGACTTTGGAATTTTTTTTTCTTAATGATACTTAAAGATTTTCGTCGTCTCTTAAAAAAAAGTTATGGGACTTTGAAAAATACTTATCACCCTGATTCGCCCAAACTCAATTTTTTTTTATTAATTCGTATCGAGAATCGTTTGTAGTTGATTGTAGTGAAGCTTTCATATGTAGTAGAAAATAAATAAAAAAAATTAGCACCCAACTGAAAAATATAATTTTTATTTTATGATTCTTAAAGATTCATTTGTAATTGCTACAAAAAAGAGTCACGATCAACTACAAACAATTCTCAATACAAATCAATAAAAAAAATGAGTTTGGGCAAATGGGAGGAATAAGGATTTTTCCACGTCCCATAACTTTTTCTTTAAGATACTGCAAACAAAATAATTTTCACTACAATCACCACTAAAAACGTCTAGTGTGGAGATTCAAGCATAAGCATTTACAAAAAAGCAAAACGTAGAGACCTGTATGACTACGTCATATTCTATGGGTAAAATTTCTTTTACATATGTCTAATTTTCGAAAAGGTCGAGAGCCAAAACTCAAGTTTTGCAATTTTTATTCGCAATTTTCAGTGTTTGCTACTGTTGGCCCTATCGCACGATTTTGCCAAAGCGCACAGTAGTTTTTTCAAATATTTCATAAATGTCTTAGCTAGCGTCCGCTCTTAAAGGTACTAAACAATTAACAGGACAACCAATTCCGCGAGGAAGTGGACATTGACCCGCGCGTACACAGGCGGCTCATCGGTCTCCGCGGCAAGAACATCAGGCGCATCATGGACGAGTACAAAGTGGACATCCGGTTCCCCAAGAACAACGACGACAGCCTCGTCGTCATTACCGGCGACGAGGATAACGTGCTCGACGCCAAGGACCATCTGCTCAATCTGGCGGAGGAATATGTGAGTCATTCGAACTATGTACTTAGATTGTTTCTTACTCAAGGGAGGCGCGTAGGGATCTTCTTGATAGTGTGAAGGTGCTCGAGGTTGGGCCGGTCTACTATCGCGACCTTGTGGGATCGGAAGCGAACTTCAGGCAGCTGCGGGACTTCGCGCGTAGATGGTACAGGAATCGGAGTGGACTCGAGGGAGTTGAAGAAAGAAGACATGCGATACCACTTCATAGTGTGCACGGAACGGCTGGGATAGCGACGAAGACGTTTCGTGTGCGTCCGCCCCAGAAAGGGGAGAGGGACCATAGGGACAAAGGAGACAGATAAAGAACAATTTGTAGATAGTCAAGAAAGTACGCGCGGTGGGGGCCATTCCGCGCGTATCTCCCGCTGCTTCGGCCTGCATAACCAAGAAGATTCGCCAGGCTAGGTGGTTGGTGGGATTTGTTACTTACTCATATGAAGGCTCTAGAGCCTCTAGAGTTGCACAGCGAGCCATGAAGAGAGCTGAGCTCGGTGTATCTACGTGATCGAATGAGGAACTCCGTAGAAGAACTAGAGTGACCGACATAATTAGACGGATCACCATGCTGAAGTGGCAATGGGGGGCGGGGCACATTGTTTGGCGAACCGATGGACGTTGGGGTCCCATAGTGCCTCAATAGCGACCTCTCATTCAGAAGCACAGTATCGGTAGACCTGCACCAGTCGCCGACCACCACAATTTACATTATATCACGTTTCTTATCGCGCCTTACTGTCAAACTCTTTAGTAATTTGACAAAGCGTGATATAACGTTTTATATAGTACACTTCTGGGCACATCTATTGGCCCACCTTCTATTTTCAGTTTCGTTTTGGTCCTAGCTAAAATTTTATATTAGTTCGAACAAAAAGTTTTTATGCAGTTGTGAACCTGGCACATTCACAATTTCATTCAATAGTCTTGTTCACGATACAATCGATTCAAAAGAAGCGCCAATCAGTCATCGGCAACGTTCGGGCACATTCGTAAAACCCGACTAAAATTATATATAGCGATTTAACTCGGTCGTATTATTTTAATGTCAATTTGTTAAGAAAAAACAACTGATTATAACCAAAGACTTTATATTCGCTATGTGCGAAGTACATGGTGGGGGTATAGTGAAGCGATCGCAGCGCTTATCGTGGCAGAAATACGCAACAATCCGGGAAAGTAAAGTCAATTTGCACGGAGTTCGTAATAAACAAAAATTTTTTAAAATGCCTATTAATAGATGTTGTTGTGTTGTGAATTGCAAAAATAAGGGCACAAATAGTCTGTGTATATATTTCCTACATTGGACTGGAAATTAAATCAAAGAAATAAATGGATAGATGCCATAAAAAGAAATAAGTAAGCGAAATAACCTTAAATTATGATCAATTTTATTTGCGCTATATATTTTATGTGATATTCATTATTGTCTTTATTATTTTAGTGTTGATGGGTCGCCATGGTATCCCAAACCTGACGACACAATTTGTAGTGAACATTTTATGAGAAACAAAAAATCAGACGAGGAAGAAAATCCGAGTTATGCTCCTACGATATTCCCTGAAATATATCGAAAGAGGAAGGTTAATGATTCACAGGTCCTAGCTAGATATACACGCTTGACAAAACGAAGAACCACAAAAGTCTCAGATACCACATCAAGTCAAATAATAATTGAAGAAGGGAGTGAATTAAATCAAACTCAACCTTTTATGATCGATCAAGGATGTCAAGTCAATATGTTTTCTGAATCGAAATTAAGAGATACAACTTTTATTTGTATTAGATTAATTTACAGTGATCACTGTGATGCTGAAATCCAACATCAAGAATTTTAATGACAAATAATTCAAGAAAGAAAGATAAAAGCTGTGGCACTGACAAAAAATCGTATGAGGATCAATCTACCGAAACAAAAAGTCAAGAATTTGTTAGTATTTCATCAATAACAAATGATCAAGAACTCCTAGATCCTTCTGGTGTGTCATTTAGCAATTTTGAGTTTTTATTAACAAGATTAACTATGAAAAAATGTACAGTTTCCACTAAAGACCGACTTCTGATTTTTTTGATAAAAATGAAAACTGGCTTGACATTTTCAGCATTGAGTGTGTTATTTGGTGTACAAAAAAACCACAATCTCACGTATATTTCATTCGATCTTACAAAATCTAGCTTGTTCAACTGCTAATTTAATCTTTTGGCCGAATAGAGCCACCGTACAAGCAACAATGCCCAAGTGTTTCAGTCCAGATTACATCAATACAAGAGTTATTATTGACTGTACTAAATTCCGAATTGAAATCCGACAGTATTTAAATTATTATACAATATATAATAATTTTTATTTATCTTTAATTTACTATATTTACTAGAAATCAATAAAATACAAACTGATGTCATTATTTGGCATAATCCCGGAAAGTTGCGTATTGTAGGTGGCGCTCTGTCGTGCACATAGCGAATAATACTTAGACTGCACGAAATAAATTAGTTAATCTAAAGTAAGATTTATATCTGTAGTAATAGGATAGCTATTATCTTGATAAGCGGTCGCTAGTAAAAACGGTCCTGAGTGAGAAAGCACCCAACGGTAGTTTGTCCCTTTCTAACGTTTTGCCAGCTCAATTTATCATTGGGTTTGGTAGAAATGTCAGAAAATGTCATCCTTTTCTATTTGTGATTTACTGATTAATTACCGATACGAACGATTCGTAAACTAGGAAACTTATTTAAACGTATCTACAGTTCCTATAAACAATAAAATAATCATTGATATTTTTAAAATAAATCTAAATACAGAGTAAAAGTAGTATTTAATTAGTTGAGCCTGGTAATACTGAATGTAAGATGGTGATTTGTTCACTTGATGACAAAGACAATGATGACACTTGATGACAATTTGATTTGAAATATTGTAAATTTGCTTAATAAAGTGTATTTTTTAAAATGGTGAACTCGTGTTGTGTAACAGGGTGCTACAATGAATCTTATCCCGGTAGCCCTTTTTCTTTTCACGGGTAAGTAAAACTTACAATCATATTCATTAGGTGAACCATGAATTTTGGAGGTAGATGAGATTTTTTTTCTTAACATGAGTTGTGTGAATTTAATGAATCAATTATTAAATAATGCGGTCGCGGTTACTTCCTTGTTTCGTAGGTACTTTTTAGAGCGTTTTTAGATTCGTATCATCATCATCATCAGCCTGTTAATGTCCCCACTGCTGGGGCCTTCCCTATGGATGGAATAGGGAGATTGGGCCATGACCCACCAGGCGGGCCCAGTGCGGATTGGCGGGTGCTAACGACTGCAGATGCAGCCGGGACCAACGGCTTAACGTGCCTTCCGAAACACGGAGGAACTCGAGATAGATGTTTTTGGTCACCCATCCAATGACCGACCACTGCGAAAGTTGCTTAACTTCAACCATCGCAGCCGAACGCGCTAACCACCTGCGCCATCGAGCTCCTTACAAAAATAGTTAAAAAAAAATCTCTTGTATTGTGTAGATTTCCGAAGAACGAAAAGCAGAAATTGATGTGGGAAAATGCAGTGCCTGGAAAAATTTCTGAGTCGTCAGATGTTTGCAGTGCGCATTTTAAATAAGAAAAAAAAATTGGTGCGTGTACTTATGTAGGCGCGTGAGAAGTTATCCTTCTTTGGCATCGTTTAAAATTAGTTTTTAATTGCATGCAAATAATTAATTACAATAAATTAATAAAAAGTCTGGAAAAGGACACAGTCAATAAAGTTCAGTTTTAATTTGAAAAAATAAATAAATAATCAAAATATTCAATTAAAATCGCTACTGAATATAATTTATTACAACATATGTGATTTGCACTTGTATGAAACTCAAACACGTATTCCGAATATACAAACTAGAAACATGTGGATAAATATTATAAATATGAATACAACTTTTATTTGTATTAGATTAATTTACAGTGATCACTGTGATGCTGAAATCCAACATCAAGAATTTTAATGACAAATAATTCAAGAAAGAAAGATAAAAGCTGTGGCACTGACAAAAAATCGTATGAGGATCAATCTACCGAAACAAAAAGTCAAGAATTTGTTAGTATTTCATCAATAACAAATGAAATAAATAAATAATCAAAATATTCAATTAAAATCGCTACTGAATATAATTTATTACAACATATGTGATTTGCACTTGTATGAAACTCAAACACGTATTCCGAATATACAAACTAGAAACATGTGGATAAATATTATAAATATGAATACCTATAACTGTTACTTTATTACAAAAAATAAAGATGTGGTTTTTGGTTCTACTACACCAATGGTCAAGAGATGGCGCTGTAGTCTCCTGAATCGCGCTTTGGTTCCGTTGTTTCAGATTAATAAATACTTTTGATAGGCCTTCACAATGCAGTCGTTAGCACCCACTAAATAGAGATTCTATTTCTATTTTGTTGGTAGATTTTCTTAATGTGCGGTAAACACAAAAGTAACAGCATGAACTTCATGCTGTTAAAATTTTGTGTTACAGTGATGCGCGCGCATCTTAAAATTTCACTCTCATCATTTTTTCATAACGCGCCTAAAGAAGTATAACTTCAATAAGACATTTAAATAAGACTTAGAAGCTACGGGAACTCCTTAACCCTTGAGCACGTAGGACATAAGGCTACATTGCGACAAAAACTGCGCAAAACTATATTATTTAGCAATGTATAAAAACCAATTTTGATAAAAATATTGTAAACAAATGATTGTCTTTTTTTTGTCCAAAATTTGATGAATTTGATTTGGTATTGACCGATTTATCTACCTCACAATATGTGGGTCCCCCTTACCTTAATAAACATACTTTTAAGAGTACTTTTCCTTCAGGTGGCTGGCATTACAAAATTCTACCCTCTTTATCTAATCTCAGTCCAAGCCAAGCTACGCGTGCTAGTTTAAATACCGAATGAAACAGTTCATAGTACCTATGTATTATTATTTTTAAA